TTGGAAATGTTTTGTAAATCAGTTCTTGAAACCTGTCATTGAAAACGCAGCCATAAGGAAACCAGAACTAAATCCGCCCTTTCAGGTGGGCAGAGAAGACAAATAACGCGTATTTTTTGGTTTCTGCGGGATCATTACTTTGTGTTCCGTAAGGTTTGTATTTTGTAGTTTCCATAAATAATATAATCCTTATAAAGTAGGTTGCTCTGTTGAAGAAATGAAGATGGACAGTTTTTTAATCAACTCCAAAATATGTAAAGTGGGTCGATTTTAAAATCCTTACCTCGAATTATTAATTATAAAGCGCTTGAACTAAATTTTTTGTCAAGATGTGAATCAGAACTTTGTATATCGGCCCTATAATAAATCAATATGCACGGTGATAATCTTGAAGTTTCACTTTGAACTTGATCATTCAGTATAAAATAAGGTTGGGTCAACAAATGTCGAAGAAACATAAAATCCATACCTTAAGCCGTTCATTATAAAACGCCAAAGCTAAAAGTTTGGTCAAGTTCTGAATCAGTATCGTGTAAATTGCCATTGGGGCTAAAAATGCGATGTGAAGGGTGTTCAGCGAAGAATGGGACCGCACGATATCTCAGGAACGAATGCAGATTTTAAAATTCTTAAAACTTTGATATAATTAGCTATAAGCTAGGGCCATCTATTTTGTGTTAAATGGTTATTTACATAAAAGTCAGGAAAGTGATACATTACTGGCGAGGAAATATAGAAGTGCGACGCCCCTTTGGGGCCAAGTACTTTAATTTCCGTGAAAGTGAAGTTGTGCACCACTGAAAAGTCACATTTACAATAGGAATTACAAAAAAGGTGTTTGTGTTGATTGATATTGTGCGTCTGATAAGAAAAATCGTTTGACCACATTTCACACTGTAAGGAATTAAGATTTCATTTAATTTGTTTTATCACTTGTTGCGTGATGTGTTTTTATCTGGCCCTTAGTGCCGCTAGGTGAACTTGTGGGTGGTATCTTTTGGTATTGCATATAACATTATTTGTTGCCCAACGTAGGGCACATACATCAAAATTGCTCCACAAATAAGAAAGTGGGTTCTGCAAATGCACACATGCTCATATCCATCTCATACAATATATCTACTGGATTCGCTTTTATAACAAGTATTTATAAATGAATAAACAGTGCAAGTATCTTTCTTTTCGCCCACACCACGTGTTGAAAGCCAATTAAAAAAAGCATCTTTCTACGAAGTGAGTACTGGGATTGCAAACCCCCAGACGGACGGACGGAATTCAAACATGTATTGCAGTTAATATAACCGCAATCATTATGAACTTTCAGATTGTATAGAATAATGAGGCAAATTTGAGAAGCATTTTACGTACTGTAATGAGCACAAAATGTTAACATTGTTATTTCCGTAGGTGTACTTTGTTAATGGAATAACAATTACAGCTAAATTAAGAAACACGATTTTTAGATGTTATTCGGATATTAATTTTCAACTGTGTTCTCCTAAACCTCATAGATTTGGTATTACAACATTCTTCTGATATAGATAAAGGTGGTACAAAAGCTGCGTAATTTTCCAAGGTTTGGCGAACCTAATTTATTATTACTAATTCTTTACAAATCACAAAACAAATAAAAATATCGTAATGGGCCCGTTGACCATGTCACCAGTACGATTAAACAAGTTAAAAAGTAATCGTAAACGATTTACATAAAGCGCATTTCCACTTGCACTTCTATAAAATCGTAAAAATCCGGCCACAAATATGAAAGATAGCGTTGCACATGGGCAATCCATTTTTGTCGTGCTACTTCAATGTCAGTTTATGAGAAGAATTTCATTTCAATGCTTTTCTAAATAAGAAAGTTGGAACTGCGCATGCGCAAACCTAAATTTTGAAACTAATGTAAGATTTTCCTTTGTTCCAAGCGCCTAAGTATCAAATTTCACTTAAATGCTTCCATAGATAAAAAAGTTGGCACTGCGCATGCGCAAAATAAAATTTTGGAACTGGCGCTAGATTTTCCTTTGTTCCAAGTGCCTATGTATCAAATTTCATTCAAATACTTTTATAAGTAAAAAAGTTTGCAATTCGGTTTATAAATGGTCGAGATGCGAAAAGGGCACTGTGAATTTTGAATCGATTCGATTCAACTTTTTGCATTGCGTATTATATGGCTAAAGCTATGCCCATATTGAATTTCATGCAATTCAGTTCATAACTAACGGAGATGTAAAAGTGATCGAACATTTCTAAACAAAGTTATCGTTCACACGGACAGGTAGATGGACAGACAGCCAAAGGAACAGACGGACAGACCAACAGGCAGACGACAGATAGCAATGCAAAATTATAAACGATCTCTAGGATCGTTAATAAACGGCAAAAGTGTAAAATTATGTAACATGTCAAAAACGGTTTTTTTGTTTTTTTTTACAATAACTTTTTTTGTAAGCGGCACAGAAAAAATTCCTTCCTTGGTACAAGACTCGACAACATAACGAACCAAATAGCGAAAAAAGTAGAACAATAGCTCTTAAGATAAAGAACTAGTAGCGTCGCAAAACGAGCGGACGGACGGACGGACAAAGTGGCCAAAAATGCGCTAAAAATATGTTCAATCAAATTGTTGTGTAAATAAAAGGTGGCAGGCCATATGGTATAACTACCAAAAAGTAAGTAAATGTTACGTGATGTTATAGTAGTGAAGTAATAACGTTAGCCTGCTCCAGGAACCGATGGATATCACAAATAATCAAAATTTTTAAATGACTTGACATGACAACTTTAGCGTCGGCCATTTTTATTAATTTCTATCGGCTGCCTTTTATTGTTTATTGTACCCATGGTAACTAAGGCAGCCGATACTAAATAATATAAATGTAATAATAATAATAATAATACTCTTTATTATTACCTCAATTGCAAGTTTTGGTGAAGAAAGAAATTACAGTTTAGGTATCAAACAATTAAGGTAGTAAGTGGCGGAGTTCAGCATAGCTTTTTTCTAAATGATCATACTAACGAACTTTGTTTGAGCTGTTCTTCCACTCAACCAGTTAATACTGCTTGTAATTTACATACTTAAGTAGGTAAGTGTTATCTACTATCGAATCACTGACATCAAATGGCATTCAAGTTAGAGAGAATTGTAAAGGTATTGTTTGAGAATGACCTTGAAAGTTCCAGGGTTTCTAATTGCTTTCAAACGTTCCGGTAGCATATTATAATCTTTAGCAATATTGTAGGAGAACGACCCTTTATACTGTGATGTCTTATGGAGAGGTATGGTGAGAAAGTTTTTTTTCCTAATATTTATATTATGGACGTCTGTTCTAAAAGAAATATTTTCGAACAAGTATGGGGGTTTATGCGTGATTAATATGTGATGATAAAGTCCGAGTCGATGCAGTTTTCTTTGGTTTTCCATGTTCAGCCATTTTAATTTATTGAAGGTGTGTGATATCCTTTCGTATTTACGTATTCCAAAAATAAAACGTAAACAGCTATTTTGGACCTTTTGAATTTTATAACAGGTTTGTTTAGTTATGCATGGTCCGTAAACGGCATCACAGTAATTTAAAGGTGCCAGCACTAAGGAATTAGACAGTAACGCTTTTGTGTTTTGTGGCAGCACATGCCTATATGAATATAAACGCCGCAAATTATTATATGATTTGTGAATTTTTGAGTTTACATGTGTTTGGAAGTTTAATTGGTTGTCCATGTATAGTCCAAGATTTTTTACTACATTCGAGGGTTTCAAACGATCACCTTTAAATTGGATAGATATTTTTTCTTCGGCAAGATTTCGATTTGACTTTGTACCGAAAAATATCAACTGTGTTTTTGCGGTATTCACATTGAGACAATGGTCTTCTGCTGTATTTACAAACGCGGCTATATCTTTGTTAATAGAGTCTGCAACTGTGCTAATTTCTTTAGGAAGTATTTTAAAATATATTTGACAATCATCAGCATACATGTGAATACTGCCTAGTTTTAAAGAGGACTGTAGATTAAGGGTATAGATCGAAAATAGTAGTGGCCCGAGTATTGATCCTTGAGGAACACCACAAGTTACCGCTACCAGGTTCGAAGAGACTCCATCTATGACCACTTTCTGATACCGATCAAAGAGGTAATTTTTAAGTAATTGTATTGCAGAATTCCCAAAACCGATGTAGTGCAATATTTTTAAAAGAAGATTATGGTTAACTGTATGTACCTGTATGAGGGTGAAAACAAAAACAAACAAACAAACAAGTGCAGGTGATCGTGCCATCCCCGCTTAGGTGATATCGTAACGTGATTTATTTATTTACGATTAATTAACAATAAATTTATAACAATTTTGAAATGTATTAATTTATAACAGTTAATTTGTATTTATCACTCATAATGTATAACATAACTTGAGCGCGAAATATTTATTTCTGAAACACAATTCGATTTGGTTGTGTAGCAAACTCCGATCGATGTCGAACGCTTCTGAACGCTCCCGAATATTCTGGAATGTACTCGAACAAACACGTATTCCTGGAAAGAATGCGTCACATCCGCTTTCGCGATGACTAATCTTTTATGGTGCCTCGATGTCTAGCGAGATTTCTAGAATATTCGCTACAATGTATGTGTTGATACGCCAGCGGTCCTTACTCTGTACAATCAATCAATCAAACATGCTTAAATTAAAATTGTTTTCGGTCCCTACAATACTTCCACCATCCATCATTTATCCAATTATGCTGACAGTAGAAGCGATACATTACGTTATTTCGATAGACGTAAATAACAGCAAGGTATGCCCTTAGGGCTGCCTTTGATAACATGATAGTGTGATTCTGTGTATATTTGATACGTGCGCACTGCTTTCGGAAAAGGCTAAGGATTTCCAAATTTCTGCTGTAAACAGATTACTGTTACAATTTAGACATATCGTTAATTGTGCTTACTGCTAGCATATAAAATCTAAGCTTAATTGTGTGTTTCTATTGTTCCAGGAATGAAGAGTCGGAACCCGTATTAACGATAGCAATTCCACGGCCTAAATCTTCAATAAGCGTTGCGGAATTAGCGGCTAAATCCCAATTTCCAGTGTGCATCACGCCGCCTCCGAGTCCTGCACATCCATTATCGGTATCGAAATATTCAATCGGATATCATCAGCCGCATTCGTCGCCTAATAACGTTCAATCGGACGAACAGGAAGTAATAACAGCCACCCTAAAGAGGGCCATTTCCTGCGATAGCGTTTGTTCGGATTCGTCTGTTGCTCTTGGCGATCTCGAAGAACCAAATGTAACGGGATACCTATGCCTTGGCCTAGAATACGACAGGTGAGTACCTATTGTTCAACTTGCGGGAGTATTTCGTTTCTTTGAAATATGTAGATGCAAAATCCCTGATTAACCTACGGAAATCCCTGACAAAATTGAAAAAAGTTCCAACTTTCGAAACATTTTTTTGTTTGTTAACCTTTTACGAGCGTCATCATTTTTCTTACCCTTAAAACAATCGTCGCGACAGTTGTTCCATTTTTCATTTCAGCGTGGCAGTCTCTTTTATACGAAACTGCTTATTTATATACGATACATTTTTTTGGTTTGCCTGTTTTCCTTATTGGTTATTATGGCTTATGCAATTTAGGGGTTTTCCTTATTGGTTATTATGACTTATGCAATTTAGAGGTTTGCAAGTTACAGTGGCGAATTACGACATTCTTTGCAGTGGACATGGACGGTAACAATCAAGATATCTTTTTCATGGGGATAATTCTTCAGTATAGTAATGTCATAACTCTCAAGGACACTGGAAAAACTGACAAGAAGGAAATCATTAGGAACTTTAAGAAAAGTTGATGCGAGAGAAACCGAAATCCTTTCGTTTCGAGATAGTGTGGAATACCTTTCGGAAAATGGACACTCACGGTTACATTCCGGAAATGTTAACGTCTTATGCTCCTTTCCAGATTTGACAATTCCACGTCCCCCACAAAACTCAAGTTTTATGCTCCAATTTGTTTCAAAGCCGAACATTTTTGGTATATCATCAATTTGAACAAGTACAATCTGTATCGTAATTACATTAGTGGAACGAAAGTGAAAACCTAAGTGGTCAAAGCAACCCTTTTTACACGCTCAGTTTATCTCAAAAGACGACGTTTCCACAACGAAGCATCTTTGCCGACAATAAAATACTTCAAATACTTCAAGCAGAACTTTCAGCCTTTCGCACTGCCTCATATAGCATCCGCGTTTAAATTTCGAGTTATTCGGGTATCGGGTAGTAGGTATAAATTCATAATTGCCATCGCGAAACTGGGGTTCCAACAGACGATCCTCTTCTATATCTACTATTTCCATGGTATAATTTATTACTCTTCTCTATTTTTCTAATATAACGCGAGGGCGCGATAACTCACGAGTATAAAATCTTTGCCATGAATCAAAATAACAAAGAGGCTGAAATGAAAACACGCAAGGCCATTACACGTATAGACGCTTTCAATTTAACAACGATTAGTGAATTTTCAAACGTAAGGCCGAAGAACACGGCTTTGGTCAGCTATCGCCCCCAAGGAATTTATCTCGTCGTTTATGTTCTCTTGCCCTAATTACCTTTCTCACGCCTCATCTTGAAGTCATAAACAGCGAAATTCAAATTTCGTAAATATCTCATTTATTATTAATTTTTTTCTAATCTTATAATTCGATATTAAAATACTGAAATTAGATGTACAGCGTCTCCAAACTAAAATTTTATATAAGTCAATTTCATGCAGATTAACATAAAAATTCTCGAACACGTCAATGGAATGAGGATCAAATTTAGTCTCATTTGCAAGACTTACATTTCATTCAATTAGGCGAAGTAGGCACCTTGCAACAGGTTTTGCATAAAAAGGGGCTTGAACCTCTTCTTTGAATTGATTAGCACTTGAATTTTTGAACAAGAATTTTAAAAGGACCTCCGGCAAGCCGTATATGAAATGATATTTTTGTATTTGGTAAAACTCCGAATGAAAAAATTGCTCCTTTGCCTTTTTTACTTGAAACTTAAATTTATTAATTCCAACGTGATATTCATTTGGTTAGGCTACTGCTGGATTTATCCTGCATTTACGAAAAAAATTCCTACCGCGATTATGATTGTTGAGTTTGAATCCTGGTTTGAATTGATTGTGAGTCCCCTAATTTATTCGCGCTTTTCGAAACCTGGATCTCTTGAAATTAAACACTTTACCAGCGTGACAAAATTCCAAATTCGAATATGAATTTCGCCAAACATCATTGGCATATAAACTAATTTTATCGCGATCACCGAAATAGTTATATCTTGCTCGATTTCACCAAAGTAAACTATATTTTTACTAGAAAAAACTATATTTTCTCCAGGCTCCCGAAACTCAAAACTCGCAAAAATTTCCCTGTAAAGATCTCTACTATCCTTTTTCATTAACTGCCACCCACAAAATAGTGTCTTATTAAAGAAACACTGCTATCTTCATTTGTTGATCTGTTTCCTTCATGTCTGCAGTACCAATTAAATAAAAGCTAGGGTAATATCAAACCCTACGTATGACCAACACCTTTTACATTTTCTACGATAATGAAATGATCTCATGCTCATTCAGTGGTTTGGTATGTATAAGGCCACTTTAGCTCTAGTTAGTCTCGTCTCCAAACACCCGAAGCACATTATGAAAACAATGCTCTACAGAAATCAAAATATGCGGAAAAGAAAATCTTCAATTCTTCCAAATGCTTATAGATTTATTCATGAAATTGCACTAGCCACATAATTTATTGGAAAATCGGTCCTCTAAATTTCCACACTGTAAATCTTCTATGATATGTAAGGCATAACCTGTTCTAACCCTTTTGGAATATAAAAATTTCAAATTTACAACGGCACATGGAGTTGTCTGGTATGTCATTTGAAACCTTAAAAAAAAGAGAGTGAGATAAGTACCTAGTTTTTAATTACTAACGTGCGGGTGGTATTCCATTGGGGTCTTACACTGACTCCCACTTCTTGACGGAAATACACGTCTTGAAGCACCAGCAAAATCTCGATGATGTCGGTCTGTCTGTCGGTCTGTTTGTACTCCCATTTCCTGCTAAACAGCTGAACATATTAAAACGACATTTTTACACATATTCTAAAGGTACGATTTGGGTGGAACCGTCGGCTTTAGACATAAAACGAAGAGCTGAAAAGCTTTTGTGCAGAATCGTGCGTGCGCAGGTATAGCAATTTTTTGTACTGATTTTGGGTGGTTTGGAAAATACAACTTATTTAGCAGCTGTCAGTCGTCTAACGCTTCACTCTGATTAGCCGGAGAGAAAGGCTCGTTTAAATGTTTATTTTTTATTGGAAACGAAGAGAACTAAATATTTTAACGCTTTCATTTGCACTGACATGCACACAGTCTGAGTTGGCGAGAAGGCGAGTTGATATTAGGTAGGCTTTTAAAGTTACAACCAAAACTATCGAAACATCGAATTTTGGAAACCGAAAAGTCTATATTTTCCAGAAAATACGAGTATGTTTAGTCTTTGCTTTAATTACGTTAATGGAATCAATCTAACGAAAGTTAAAGTAACCAAACCAAACCTTTTTGCACGCTCGGCTTATTTTAAAAGTAGACGTTTTGACAACGAAGCATGTTGACCGACAATAAAATACTCTAAATACTTCATGCAGAAGTTTCATCCTTTCGCCCTGACTAGCATCAGAGTTTAAATTTCGAATTATTCCGCTACGTATAAATTCATAATTCCATCGCGAAACTGAGCTTCCCCCAATTTTCTATGTCTCTTCAATACAATGCCCTGATGGTATAACTCATTACTCTTCTCTATTTTTTAATATATCATGAGGGCGCATTATTTCACGAGTGTGAAATTTACGCTGTCAATCAAAATAACAAAGAGGTTGGAGTGAAAAGACGCAAGCCCATTTTACGATTATTACGTTACTTTATATACAGGAAGTCGTAGCCTACAAGATTGTTACCCTCTCTACAGAGTGTTCCAAGAAGTCGTACCCGTCATTTAAAGAGAAAAACTGACTCTTTATAAACATTTGGACTGCTATATCGCCAAAAAAAGAAAATGAAAAAAAATTTGTGTAGTATCCTGTATAGTGAAAGTGGTCAACAAATTGACCTTAAAGTAAACAATACAGAAACAGCGCAAAATTTAGTTCCTGGGTATCCAGACAATGTGTATTTATGATTTCCGGACGAAATTGGTGTCTAAATGAAGAATTTTCGCTATAAGCAAGGAAATCACATTTCTTTCCTAATTTTTCGCTTCAACGCAATGTTTTTGCAGTTCCTTCAACAAAATTTGTGGATTTTGTTAAATATACTTTTTTATTTATTTTTGAAAAATTAAAATAAGTAATGTTACTTCATGATTTTCTGGTGCAAAAATGTTCTTTTCCCTAGACTTAAAAACTTTTCGGAACAAGCAAAATTTTCCCTGCGCCCTGTTTGTGAAAGTGGTTTTCTTTGAGGATGTTTTTGAAAGGTAAGGTGCCTAAATGCCACCAAATTCTTTAATTGCGAAGAATTGCCGCAATCATTACGAGGGCGTCATGGAAGATGGGGTATTCTACTGAAATTTAGTTTAGAAGAAGGGATAGCAAATGGCAAATCGATTTCTACGGATTCAAGGATCAGCGATAGAGTTTGGTCTGCAGAACAAGAGATTTGACCACCAAGTGTAAGTTGCAGCTTTTCGCCGAAAAATGTTGTTTGAGAATAGTATATTATATAATGAGCTTTTAAAGTAATATATTTCATACGAATGTGAGAGATCGGTTTCAAGACCATTTCTCCTTCTACTCCCACTAAAAAACAGTGCTATTCGTACGTTTAACTAAAAAATTGAAAAACGGTCCCAAGTTAGGATATACAGCGGGAAAATTTAGAGTATATGACCATAGCTGTAAAGTTATTAACACAAGACAAACCTGATTGGACGAATACATATTATAGATAGGGCGATGGGTAAGTATTTTCATTTGTTGCATGTTTATTAGCAATAGTAGTTCAGGATACTGCAGCGATGGAATAGGGCCATGACATGACATTGTTGTGTTACGACGTTCATCATTTTCCGATGGGTCGGAATTTTAGACCTGATCTGAGCTTTTTATTGTTTCTAATGCTATTTGAATTGTGTTACCTCAACTGTCATATACGTTTCAGAGTCTGGGACAGAGCGAATGATTACATAAATTCTCTGTCTTTGGAGTCTAGCTGCTAAACGAAACACCGTGATTCCTCGGTTGATTCGAAAAAAATGCTACCTCTCCTTTATCATTCCGGTACGTACAAATATGAAAATTGGTTAAAGCTATCACGAATACGTTAAAGGCTTTTTGCAGGAGGAAGTAGCTTGATAAATATTTAACAGGCTTACTTTCGCTTGAACGAAGCACAATCGATATAAAACTCAAAAGAATATTCTATGAAAGCTATATGATACAGAGAACTATTTAAACGCAGGAGCTATAATCTGAATTATTTTCAGTACCTACTACCCTCTGAAATAAAGCTCCACATTCGTAAAGGTAAGCTTCACGGTAATGCTTGGATTTTTCCATTATATAACACTCCACCGGCATTAAGCCGCTTGAATTTGTAGAGCTTTGCTCAGTCGCAGATTCAGTTAGTTTTTCCATGGAAATTGGCATAATGCGGACTTTCAAAAGCTCGATAAAGGTAGTTTTTTGGCAAAGCTTCTGACGTTACTGTATGTACATTGCGAATTTTACTGAGAGGATCTATAATAACCTGAAATGGGTTGATAGTAACTTGGTCATGACGCAGATATCGTGTCCCGGAAAAAGTATTGTTAACGCTTACTAAAAAAGGGCAAAAGGTAAAATACCATAAGGCCTGTAATGAATTTATTTTTCTGTGAAATACATACATTTTCCATTCGTGCGAATTTTAAAGCGTAATTAAAATTAAACAAACCGTAAATTTGTGGTGACTGTGTGGTTTTCCGTTTTATACCTTTCACCTACCTATCGCGGTAGTATCCGCTAACCGGTCGTTCAATATGCAGTTTACAATCCGAAATATTTTCCGTGGAAAATTTTTCTGTTTCACAATTTTTAATTCGTTACGAACGCGTTCTTTTTCCAAAAACTTCAATCTTGCAAATAAACATAAAGAAAAGTTAGATGGAAGATTTTGTAGAACAATGTAATTTTGCAGTAGTCTAGACAGAAAGAAAAATAAACGTTGCAAATAGCCGCAAGTTTATCGACTTGAAAACTTGAAGTAGGTGTACTATAGAGAATGACAACCATGTAATCTTTTGCTGTATAAACTTGGTATTTGGTGATTAAATAAACTTCTTATATAGGTTTTCAACTTTTTTATAGTGGAACGAAACGCTTTCTAAAGATTAATAACTTGGAACTTACTTTCAGAGTTAAGCTCTTTAGTATATGTATTAAAGGGAAAAGATGACTCAGTAAATGGACAGCTTACTTGTAAAACTTGCACACATTGCACATCACTCTAAAGCTCTCTTGGTTTCATGTCACAGAATTTAACACAATAATATGTTTTCCTTAGAAATGTCTGTAACAGTACATACAAAGTGTTACATTTGAATAATTGTGCCAAAGAGAGGGAAATCCTTTTTTAAAGATATAGGTTTAGTGGTTTTGAATGGAGCGGCGACTGTACTGTAATGTTTTAGGCTGGTGTGCTTGTGCAAACTAACTTTCACGTAAACGAAAATTCATTCAAACATGTGTGAAATTAAATTAAAAAATTTGCTGTGGCTAGCACAGATACCACCCGCACACCTGCGCGATTCTGCTTAAAATATTTTGAGCTCTTCCTTTTATGTCTAAAAATGTGTATATGATGCATACCAAATTTGGCTCCAATCGGTTCAGCCGTTTAGCCTCAGCCTAACTTTTTGGACTGAAAGCCCCGTTTTTAGAGCTACATTCCATGGTGATTGTCCCGGTTCCGCACAAATTTTTATTGCAATTCTTTTCTCGTAGTGTTCAGCTTTTAATTAATTAATTGAAATTTTGCTTTGCATACTTACATTCTTTGAATTAAAATAGAGAGTCTATTAAACGGCCAGGATGAAATTATTCTTCGATGTTTTTATACGGCAAACAAAACGAATTTTTTTAATGTTCTACCGTAATATTAATGAGTTTTATTTACGGGTGAGAATTTGAGAAACTTATTGTCTTTACAGAAAAAGGAGTTCAAATTCCCTTATTTCACTCACGGTGCAGTAACCTAATACCACAGATTTAAATATACTAATTTAAATCTGTGCTAATACGAAAATTCTTTATACATTATTATATTAAAAAAGACGATTTCGGGAAAAATGGGTCTGTAAAATACGAAAGGGTAGAACGGAGAAGGTATAGTTCAACGACCTGCGTAGCTCAGAAGAGCTTACGTTAGAAGCTCTAACTTTGGCTACAAGGGTCCTGGGTTCGAATCCCAGGTGAGGCATGGCTGTTTGTGATTGTATAGTGGGTTGAGTGGGAAGAGTAGCAAATTGCTAACACTCCGCCCACTATAAAATAAAGGCAATAAAAAAAAAAAAAAAATTATGTAATCCCGAGATATGTCGGGATTATACTTAATCTCGAGAAATAACTTGGGAGTATACTTAATCCCGAGATATAAGTCAGGATTATACGTAATCTCGAGATGTAAGTGAGGATTATACTTAATCCCGAGATACAAGTCGGGATTATACGTAATCTCGAGATGTAAATTTCTCGAGATTAAGTATAATCCCGACTTATATCTCGGGATTACGTATAATCCCGACTTATATCTCGGGATTACATAATTTGAACTAGGTACCTTGTCCGTTCTACGCTTTCGTAGTAAAATGACACTACTTGACTCGGAAATTAAACAATTTAATATTTCCTCGCCAATAATGTGTATTTTAGAAATGTCTACTTTTTTACATTTTTAGATATTCTTCTGAATAATCACGTCATGTTTGCTACTTCTTTTTCACAGTGAATTATCCGATCTAATAGTAAACGTATTAGAGGCAAAAGACCTAATTGGATCATCACAGGACGACAACCCCATAGATTCATACGTGAAGATTTATCTCCTTCCGGACAAAGCTACGAGTGCGCAAACAAAATTGTATAGATATTCAAATAGTCCCAGTTATAAAGAGAGATTTTCATTTCCTTTACGCCCTCGAGAGCAATCGCAGAAGTCGCTTTGTTTTCACGTCTACTCCCTAGACAATACGTCGCATACGCTACTTGGGGAAGGTGAAATACGTCTAACTGACATCAGCTTACGACAGCCAGTTACAACATGGGTCACGTTGACGGATACCGGACAGGTATGCAAAACACTTGGTTCGCACATATACCCACAAGTTACCTATTTACAGAAAGGAACGGAATTTGGAGAGGTGATGTTTTCGTTAAGTTACCTTCCAACAGCCGAACGTCTGACGGTGGTTGTGGTGAAAGCACGCAATTTAAAATTCCAAAACGATAGGGATGCGGGAGATCCGTTTGTTAAGGTATGAAATGGTACTTATTCTGAGTTTCTCATTCTTTTGTTTTCAGGTCTATCTGCTGCATCACGGGAAAAAAGTTCATAAAAAGAAAACATCAACAAAGAGAGGAGAGCGATCGCCTATTTTTAACGAGTCTATGATTTTCAGCGTTCCAGCTCACACATTGCAGGTAATTACACCCTCTGAGTTCGTTATGTAGCTACGAAACGCGAAAATTGTGGAAATAAACAGGCTTCCACTGCGATCGATACCTTCTTTCACAAACATTGAATGGCGCTCGTATTATGATATTGGCATTTCATTAATACACTTTGAACCAATGAGTACTAGGCAAACGAATTTCCAATCGATACCAATTTAACAGATTAATTTCCATTTCAGATCTGTGTAAATGGTGAAAATTCATTCCCTTTTGCGTTGGGCGGTAAAACCTTTCAAACTTTGCACCTTAGCGATTTCGCCTACTTTCGTGACCTATCCTTTTCGATATATTAGTTGACCGCCCAAGATTCCGTTGGCTATTATCATATTCCTCAGTTTACACAGCACAAAAACGCCTCAAGAGAAAGTGTTATGAGGAGCAACTTTGCCCAAAGTTACAACACGTTCGCATTATCGACGCCTGCCCAGATGTTGGTCAACGAATTTCAATGAGGCAGATACTTCCACCCACTTTAATTTGATTTGGAAGTTTCGTGTATCCAACCCACTCCTTGTTGGAGCCGAAGGGCGAGATTTAACTGTTTTCTCTAGTTCGTGTTGGGTAATTGCTTCGTAACGTAATTCTATGTTTGCCTCTACATCTTCCACCTGTTGCATCATTTTGGGTCGATTTTACGATTGATTCAGTCACATTCAGCATATAGTTTGTTAAATTGGACGCTTCTATGTGCTATATGTTCTTTCCGTTTATGTTATGGAACTTACAAGATATAGTTACACCGTCTGTTCTACAAAAAGGTCCAAGTCTATAGCGACTTTAAATCTTCCATCATATACTACCATGATTTAACTATTAACAAACCCTATATATTAAGTATTAAATGGGGCAGTATTAGGTACAGCTTGGTAAAAAACAAATTTTGTAAAAACCTTCATTTACATGTTATGACGCCGCTGACTTTTCTTAAATTACTTGATAATTTTTTGCGTATTCTTGTAGCAAATTTCATGACTTTTCATCGGTCTAAATTTGTAGTAGGGTTAATTTACGACATTTTTGTAAAAATGTAACAAAAATATGTACTTATTTCCAGCAAGTCGGTGCCCCTGCCCATATCTCCAATATTAATTAGTACAAATTGTTTGAACTAAATATTTAAACGCAACTGGGTAGAGATACTAACGGCCCAATTAAATGGTGCCGACGTTCTCCGAATCCAACTCCTCTCGACGTCTTCCTATAGGCTATAGAATGAATTAAAAGACAATGTATTTTTGAACATTGCCGTAAACCGCAGATGAGCTAAACCATTGAATAAAAATTCAATGGGAAAACTAAAAAAACGAATGAGAAAAGCTATTGCAGACATTCGCGATGATATATTAATTGACGGTCAGTATGTATGTCTTCTTTATTCTATAATCCTTCATCCATTAGTGTAACAATTGTGTTGACTAATTAGTAATTACACAAAATTGTTACGCGTTCTCTATATTAAATTATTAAGTATCAATAGAGTGCTCTCGTTCTTTCCGTACCTAAAGAAATGTCATAAATAGAGATTACCTTATGAATTAATTTTGAAACATTTTGAGATTTGTGCGTGTCTTGCTAAATTATATTTTAACTGAGAAAGTTCTGGGTAGGTATTTATTCGAGCTTATAAAAAGGGTTTACATATCCAAGCGTTGAGCGTCTTCATCCCAAAAGTTTGCACAGGCACTTTTCAATATCTACTCCTGGATACATTTCTAATTTTGGCAATTTTGCCGCAACCTTCCAACTTAAATCCATTCATCTACGGACTAACAAAGCGCCTATTCAAATGCTGAATATGAAATTCATTTCGTTCGCTTTAATTGGCACAAATGCAAATATTAACTAAATTTTAATAAAGTATAAAATAGGAGTAAGTGGAGTTTTTAATTGTGTATGTAACGAATTTACAGACCATCCAGCTTAGATTAACGGTAGCCGAAAATATCAATAACGAACACCCTACCAGAACGTACTCGATCGGTCACGTTATAATCGGCGCTCAGGCATCCGGAAGATCCTTAAACCATTGGAACCAAATGTTGACAGCTTTAAGGAAACCCGTAGCAATGTGGCACCCACTTAGAAAATAAGCCCAATTGTACCTACATCATACGTGTTGTTAACCTTGTTACAATCATTCTAAAAAGGTCTATACATTTTGTTATGCTTCCATAAATGTGATAAACAGCCTTCTGTAGTTGAAACCTTCGGGTTCGAATGTACCTTTAACATAAGAAACCTATCAATTGTTAATTGTTTCCTAAACTGTTACAATCGCCCTATCCATTCACTAACCCTAAACGAACTCGTTCATTTAAGCAGCGTAACTTAAGTGAACGGATTTTGAATTCTATGACAATAATAATTTGTTACTTGGAGTCAATGTTAATATCATGGCTTGTATTACTGTGATATATATTATGGGGCACATGTATTTCTGTACATTTTTCTAACTCATATCCTATACATAAGTATGTATAATATTGTTGAATCTTGTAGGACTTTATTGTCATTAAATTTTTGTATCTCTAATTAGAACAATCTTGGTAAAGCAATTTATAGCACCATTTTAAAAAATTAGTATCGTAAGAACTCTCTCATATCATAATTGTACTATATATTAATAACTAAGTTTAAAGTATTGTAATATGTTAGTTGAAGATTGATGAAATGCTGAAGTTTAATTTTTTATCACTCAATAATCTCTCAAAATATATGAATATATGGATGAGTAGAGTATTATTGCGTGAATGTTGAAGATGTACTAACATGCAGTAGGTGTAAATAAAAGGACATACTGGTACGTGGACCTCATTCACTCCTCCCGGTTCCTAAGTGCTAATAACGAAGAACCATTATTTAGTAGCTAAGCCTATTGGACATCTCGTGCACCAGGTTTCTCTAATACCACCTTTGTCATATTAGATCTGTGAAAATTTGTTTTTTTAGAACTCGGCTTTTTGTCCTTAACGTAGCCATTCAATCGGGCCTATAGAGTTTGGTCTGTGGAATGCTAAACGGCTAGAATTTTCAAGATTGAAATACTACATCAAAAGGAAAAGCGCAAGGACTATAACTTTTGACCTAATGATCCAATCTAATCCCGAAAATTCTTGTCGATTTTAACTCAACCGCCTAAAAAAAGCTAAGGCCACGGGAGTAACCAGTAACCATAACTCCGGCTGAAGTGTACATGTATTGCGAAAATCCTAAGCCAGCCAAAGTGAGATTAAAAGCTACCTTTTTACAATAATACTTTTACACAACTGCGCTAAAAACAGGGAGAAAAACAACAATGGCCACCTTCGCGGTTCCGCAATGCAAAACTCAAAGCCGCTTTGTGAGTCGGTTATAAAACGTACATTTGAATCACTATGCCATGGGTACGTATCACATAAAATATGGAAACTTAAATTTATTAAAATGGCAGGCATGGCTACCAAACATAAGCTGCCGTCTTTTGTTTCTTCTCCAGAGAGAAAAACTGAAAAATGACCGATTCCTTCAATTTGCTGTAACCCCTTTATTTTTGAAGCTAGAACAAAATGGCTTTAGCATTATTCAGACACTTTTTAACGTATGCCGTTAATCGTTTGTTTCTAGACCTTTTACCTTTTAGTAACTACGCTGCAACTTTTTTAATGGAACTTATAGGTAGTAGATAGACCATCTTTTGTTATTTCCTTTCAGACAAGTGTATTAATAAGAAAAATGTACCTATTGTAGAAAACTTATTATTGAAAATAAGTATGATATGCAGTGTGGCGAATACTGTTCCCCATTTCATCCTACAGGAAAAATAAAAACATCCTCGGAAGTCGGATAGATAATTAAAATATCCATCGGATGACATAAAAATACGCAACAGTGAGGTCTCATGCAAGCCTAAAAATTAAATTAAAAATCCTAAAAATTGGTAAAAACTGGTTGGCCATGGAGTGACGTGTCGAACTTGCTAGGTACCTACTAGAACAAATCGTTCCTTGGACTATTATCTCACCTCAACCACGAGATGGTGAAATAATTAGTAGGTACACTTAAATCACGAACTTCGCCGTGTATTATTCCCAGTCATAAAACGATTTTACAAAGACGTTTTCTTCTGTAGTGTAATTCTAATGTCGATTTTAATTATCTATCCGAAGGTGTTTTTATTTTTTCTTTACGTTAAAATGGGGAGCAGGAATTGCCAAAAATGTATTTTCCTATGTTATTTCCCTATGTCCCGCCGACTAGTTACCACGCTGTATTATACATTTTAGGAAAGCTCGTAAAACAATAACCCTCTTAAAACCATGGTAAACTCGAGGGTAAACTGTAACTTCCATTTAAATCAACTACAACGCAGTTAAGTACTAAAAGGACTAGAAACAAACGACCGACGGGATTGATTTCTACGTTAAAAAGTGCCTGAACAATGCTAAAGCCATATTATGTTTAGTGTTCTAGCTTCAAAAATAAAGGAGTTACTGTAAAGTGAATGAATCGACCACTTTTCGTTTTTCTCCCCAGTTAAAAAACAAAAGACGGCAGCTTATATTTCTGGTAACCGTAATGAAATAAGCATGAAAAAAGAGGTCGCCCTTTATCTGCACTAATAAGAAAGTTACCCATTTAAACCCATCGAAATTGGACCACACTGTACCTACCCCTATAACTTGCGTCTTGCTTACCAGTTGCATTTTTATCAAATCACGTGCATAGCATGTGTACCAAGAGCTGGGCAGTATTCGATTTTCTAAATACTTTTTAGTATTCAAATCCTTTAAAGTATTCAAAAACTTTGTAATTAAATACTTTTATGGAAGCAGTATTTGTTTTTGTAACTCAAATACTTTCACAAATATTTAGTATTCGAATACCTCGCAAGGTATTTGAATACTTTGAGAAGTATTCGAATACTTCGCATAGTATTGAATACTTAACCTTCCTTTTTTTACCAAAAATCGACTACACCAAAATTTCTCGGGAAAACACTTTTTCTTATTAATTTGGGTGCGTAGAATCCAAATCAATTCCTACTTTTTCGATCAGACTTCTCAATCAAAAGTTATAGACTAGAAACCAATTTCGAAAAAAAATTCAAAGGGCTGTAACTTTTAAACTAGTAGCCCAATCTTGGAACTGTTTGAAATTATGGATTCTACAGGCCACATTCTATAAGAAAATTTTTTTTCCGGGTCGATCTGAGACAATTTTTTTTCTGGGTTCAAAAAAAGGCAGTGTATAACCTTCCTTTTTTACCAAAAATCGACTACACCAAAATTTCTCGGGAAAACACTTTTTCTTATTAATTTTGGTGCGTAGAATCCAAAACAATTCGTACTTTTTCGATCAGACTTCTCAATCAAAAGTTATAGACTAGAAACCAATTTCGAAAAAAAATTCAAAGGGCTGTAACTTTTGAACTAGTAGCCCAATCTTGGAACTGTTTGAAATTATGGATTCTACAGGCCACATTCTATAAGAAAATTTTTTTCCGGGTCGATCTGAGACAATTTTTTTTTCGGGGCTCAAAAAAAGGCAGTGTATAACCTTCCTTTTTTACCAAAAATCGACTACACCAAAATTTCTCGGGAAAACACTTTTTCTTATTAATTTGGGTGCGTAGAATCCAAATCAATTCGTACTTTTTCGATCAGACTTCTCAATCAAAAGTTATAGACTAGAAACCAATTTCGAAAAAAAATTCAAAGGGCTGTAACTTTTGAACTAGTAGCCCAATCTTGGAACTGTTTGAAATTATGGATTCTACAGGCCACATTCTATAAGAAAATTTTTTTCCGGGTCGATCTGAGACAATTTTTTTTTCGGGGCTCAAAAAAAGGCAGAGTATAACCTTCCTTTTTTACCAAAAATCGACTACACCAAAATTTCTCGGCAAACACCTTTTCTTATTAATTTGGGTGTGTAGAATCCAAATCAATTCGTACTTTTTCGATCAGACTTCTCAATCAAAAGTTATAGACTAGAAACCAATTTCGAAAAAAAATTCAAAGGGCTGTAACTTTTGAACTAGTAGCCCAATCTTGGAACTGTTTGAAATTATGGATTCTACAGGCCACATTCTATAAGAAAATTTTTTTCCGGGTCGATCTGAGACAATTTTTTTTTTCGGGCCTCAAAAAAAGGCAGTGTATAACCTTCCTTTTTTACCAAAAATCGACTGCACCAAAATTTCTCGGGAAAACACTTTTTTTATTAATTTGGGTGCGTAGAATCCAAATCAATTCGTACTTTTTCGATCAGACTTCTCAATCAAAAGTTAGACTAGAAACCAATTTCGAAAAAAATTCAAAGGACTGTAACTTTTCAACTAGTAGCCCAATCTTGGAACTGTTTGAAATTATGGATTCTACAGGCGACATTCGATAAGAAATATATTTTTCCGGGTCGATCTGAGACAAATTTTTTTTTCGGGGCTCAAAAAAAGGCAGATTATAACCTTCCTTTTTTACCAAAAATCGACTACACCAAAATTTCTCGGGGAAACACTTTTTTTTTATTAATTTGGGTGCGTAGAATCCAAATCAATTCGTACTTTTTCGATCAGACTTCTCAATCAAAAGTTATAGACTAGAAACCAATTTCGAAAAAAAATTCAAAGGGCTGTAACTTTTGAACTAGTAGCCCAATCTTGGAACTGTTTGAAATTATGGATTCTACAGGCCACATTCTATAAGAAATTTTTTTTCCGGGTCGATCTGAGACAATTTTTTTTCGGGGCTCAAAAAAGGCAGTGTATAACCTTCCTTTTTTACCAAAAATCGACTACACCAAAATTTCTCGGGAAAACACTTTTTCTTATTAATTTTGGTGCGTAGAATCCAAAACAATTCGGATTTTTTCGATTAGATTTTTCAATCAAAAGTTATAGACTAGGCGATAAGGCAGCTCCTTCCAACTACAGACCGATTTCCTTACTAAGCTCGTTTTCGAAAGTACTCGAGAAGTGTATTGGTGAAAGGCTGATGGCATATTTTGAAAAATATAACATCCTCTCCAATCGCCAATATGGGTTTCGTCCCGGGTTTTCAACCGAAGAAGCTGTTGCTCAACTACTGCAGCATATCTACAATGAAATCGATTCAAATAAACAATGTTTTATTGTATTATTTGATATACGTAAAGCCTTCGACAGCATTGACCAGAGCATTTTATCACGAAAGCTTGAAAACTACGGCTTACGAAATGAATTCAAAGACTTTATCCTGTCGTTTCTTGGCAACCGAAGATACAGCGTCACATACGAAAACAGATCATCCGAAGAATATATACTGAATCTTGGAACACCTCAGGGTAGCAACCTTGGACCCATCCTGTTTATATTGTACATCAATGACCTACCACAGCACATACTGCACGGAAACACATTTATGTACGCCGATGATACTGCCGTAGTGGTCAGCGCAAATAACCCCGACGATGCATTGTCCAAATTAAAGATGGTGATGACAGAATTTACATCGTGGTGCCACATAAACAAACTAGCTATTAACATTGACAAGACGGTAATAATGAATATGTCCCGTAGAACACTCGAAATCAGCAACATCCCCATTCTGAACTCAATCACCCCAAGCCAGAGTCTACCTCTACCTACCTGGGATGCAAACTGGATGATAATCTATCCTGGCATCCGCACGTAGAACACATACGCGCAAAATTGAACCAGGCATACTACCTAATAAGAAGAATAAAACATCAATTTGACTTAAACCACATAATTGAGGTGTATTACGCTGTAGTGTACTCGCACTTAAGCTTTCATATAATGTGTTGGGGTGCTAGCACGGGATTCAATAAACTCTTTGTGTTACAAAAGCGCATAATAAGACTGATGTTTAACTTAAATTACGCACAAACTTGTACATACACTTTTAAAAAATTTAATATATTGACTCTACCATGTATATATATATATATACTAAAATTGGTGTACTACATGCACACACATTTACATAACTTTAATAGGGTAGGAAGCAGACACTCATATAACACAAGAACAAGAGACAAATTCATAATTCAAAAACACAATCATTCTTTCTACAAAAAATCGCCCTTTTACAACGCCACAAAACTCTACAATATTCTACCCGAATCTATCACCAACTGCGACATAAAAGAATTCAAGGTAAAAATTAAGGATATACTGCTCCAACATGCGTTTTACTCGTACATGATTTTATTAATCTCTTTGTAAATAAACATTAAGCTGCTGCAACGCCACCTGGTTTTAAACATTTCGTTATTATGTGTATGTATTTATTTATTTATTGACGTATCGATAATTGTTATTCAACAATTCAACGATTAAATGATTGATTGATTGATTGACTAGAAACCAATTTCGAAAGAAAATTCAAAGGGCTGTAACTTTTGAAATAGGTAGTAGCCCAATCTTGGAACTGTTTGAAATTATGGATTCTACAGGCCACATTCTATAAGAAAATTTTTTTTCCGGGTCGATCTGAGACAATTTTTTTTCGGGCCTCAAAAAAAGGCAGTACTTTTGTTATTCAAATATTTGAGAACAATTTAGAAATGTTTAGGGAAAGTTTCCATTGTCACAAATCAAATATAAAAATCCGATACATCTGAATTCGCTACGCCACTCGTGCCACAAGATAGTCGTATTACAATAGGTCGCATTGTAACACTTGTCTTTCAATATACTATCGTGACACTAGGTATTGCCATGGCCATCGGTCGATTTCCAAACGAAATCAATACTACTGCTTGCATAACAATTTTGACATCACCAAAAAGTGTATACGATTCATATCTTAAGTACCTAATGAACAATTTTAGTTTGTTCTTGTTCCTTTTTGAATTTTTATTTCATAATATGTAGGGGTTAAACAATGATTTTTAGTGAAAATATTTTTTAACATAGCAAAAACCGGCAAGAACTTTAAAAGTATTGACGATCTTTCTAAATCTGTAACAAAAAGCTTACTTTTTAATATATGAATATATGGGCAAGGTGCCTCCACCCCCCTTACTTACAAAATTCATTTAGAGGCTTGGTTGTTGATAAAAGATTTATCAATATTGTGGACAGTATGCTTTGTAACTTGAACTATCGGTTTCTTTTATTTATTTTTACATCCCCTTACAATAGAGGCCAGGCCAAAGGGACATATTAAAGGTAAAGAGAAAAATAGCTACGTTTATGTCAAGCATTTATTCACAGCTGTATACATTTCTGAATTAAATCAGGTTGAAACAACATATATCACAGATGCACCCAAGTCGAAAACTCCATTTTTGGATACTACACTAACTCTGTTGCCGTTACCATTTATTTGGAACGTACTATCTGGCGAAATGATAACTTTGCCAAGGAAAGGATTGTTAAAGGGCACCATCCTGCGATCTCCCATAATCGGATCTTCATATCTCCAAAGCTGCACACTAGGATCTTTCAAGTTTCTGCATTCCTTAACGAGGCGAGAGACAACCTTTGGAAAGGTATCTCCATTACTGATTTTGATGGATTGTGAAAACAGCCCGGAATGTGGAATCGGATTTATAAACTCAACAGTTACTCCCGACTTCACAGCATAGTGAATTTGTGGTTGACCTGGGCAACAGTCCACGGTTCGCTCTGGAGCTCCCTCCTCATCAGTTGAACGAATTTCCATATCCTCAAGCTGCAATTACCTTTAAAAATTGCTGTATTTTACGGTTGAATACTTACATCTAAAGTATTAGTTAAATAAATACTGTTTTCTTTAAGCACATCGATTTCGTTAAAGACTAGGGTTAGAGCAAGAGCTTGTGGCCCTAACTTTTCTAATTTTTCCTTCGTAGCTTGTACAAATGGCATAACTCGCTTCATATACTTTTGTAATTCTGGTTTTTTGGATAGCTCAGCCGATAAAAGTTTATTTTCGGGCAGTTTCCCGTCAGTCTACAATTTATTAGAGTAACTTGAATGATTCATTGTAGGTACAACTTACGTCGAAAAATTTCTTCATAACTGTCAGCACACAACTTTGCCAAGGTGGAAAACTCTTAGCGACCCAAATGGTAGCAGTGTTCGGTTTTTCGACAGGTGGAGGATTTGGATTGCTCTTCGAAGGCTTTACACCTTGCATACAATTTTTTAGATGAACACGAAATGAGTGAGCGACTTCCATTAAATACTCAGAAGACTTGATTAAAACTTCATTAATAGCTCCAACTTTCGGCCAAGTCGCGTTAATGATACAATCCTCCTGAAACAAACTGCAGTTCAAAATCGGAATCCCAGTGTAAGTGTCGGCTACCTTTCCCAAAAGGCTCCAAACATGCTCAGAAACGTGTGGGCAAATTGGAGAAAGGAGTAAAGCTTGAGTTTCGATGAAATGAAGGATTAGATTGACGTTCATTCCATCCATTGCCGTCAACTCGCGGTATTTATCTCTAACTGCCTGTAACTCATAAAAACCAGTACGCAGTGCTTCTTTAAAGAGCAACTTGTTGCAGAAGTCTTCAGTTTCCTTTATTTTCAAATTAATTTCGCTTTCAAATACTTTGTCGTGGAAAGTAGTCGCTGGACCAGACCTAAAAGGTTTGGAAAAGAATTTCGCTTACGTTTGGATTTTTTGTTAACCTACCTGAGACTAGCCTTCGATGCTAAAATCTCCTTTACCCACTCAATGAAAGTGTACAATCTCAAAATGCCAGCATCAGCTATATTTTCAACGAAATTCGCATCTTCTACAGTATCGCCCGAATCCGCTAGACACAAACGCATACCATCGGCACTAAACTTCTTCGTAGCTTCTTGCAGAGTCAAAAAATTCCCCTCGGATTTTGACATTTTGGCAGAGTTTAACATTAAATGTCCATTAGCTCTAATACCCTTCGGCCATTTAGACTTATCATTCGACCAAATTGCGCAATGATTATAGATATAATACGTTAAATGGTTTTGTATCAAGTCCTTTCCTGACGCTCTCAAATCGACGGGGTACCAAAACTCAAACTCGCGTCTCAACAAGTCCAATGTTTCTTTTTTAATGCCAGACTTGGAGGGATAAAGCGAGTTTTTGAAGAAGACATAATCCCAAACCTCTGGAGTCATTTGTTCCGCTTTTATACCCAACTGATTTGGTTTATCGCCCTTGAACGAATTGCCTTGAAGAAAATGAGCTATGGTGTAATAGGCATTGTAAATTGTAGAATCGGACAAAGACTCGATTAACCACTGCTCGTCCCATGGCAGCTTACTTCCCAATCCGTACTTTCTCGAGCAGGCATGTTCGTGTAACCAGTCAAGACTTGCAGAAAAGTTTTTCCTAACCTCCTCGGAGTAGGTGTTGATCGACTTCAAAGCTTCTTCAGCTTGCTTAGTCCAATTTTCGTCGCCGTAGTCTAAGTACCACTGGTCGCAAAGGGCAACTACACAGTCGTCGCCCGATCGAGAAATAATGGTCTTCTCCGGCTCATAGTAAATAACAGCTTCATTGTCCGTTAACAAAATTTTCTGTATAGTTTTCTTGACATCTTGGATCTTCTTCCCCTTAAATTCGCCTACCAACATCACCTAAAACACAACCAGGTTTATTCCATGATTATAAAGTTAGCAAAGACGAACTCCATCATAAAAACCTTTCATGTACACCATCTCTTTTGCCTCCAGTAACTTATCCTTATCATTCTGACTTTGAATCTTCAATTTATCGTATGCAGTAACCGCGGATAAATTCCCAAATTCGGGTACGTCAATGATTGGAACAGGATCAAAAGGTAAAACCTACAATTAAAACATTGGCGTGCTTGAAAACGGGCGTTTTAGTTACCTACCATTTCATCAGTTATTCCGTACTTTTCCCTAAATGCGGCTTTCTTCTTCAGATCGACAAGAGCGGCGTAATCATCGGGCGAGTCCGAGGGCACACTCGTCACTACGCCGGTACCTTTATCATCTTTGATTGTTAACATTGGAAGAGCGTAGATCTTTGCGTAGTGCGTCATAGGCGCCTTCAAAGCAGCACCCAGTAAATCCTTCGACAAAATGCATTCAGTAAATGCGCATGTAACGGTTGCCATTTATTATTTATGCAGAAAGAGAACTTCATTACGTGAAAGAGGCGATCGGGCGGCTGCTATAATTTCCAACCGTGAATATTGCAAAGCCCCCCCCCCATTAATACGTAAGCGAACAAGTTTAAATAAATTGCTACTACGAAAGTGTTGGGGTCCAAGGTGTAAAACATTCCATTGCGCCAGATTTGTAGTAGCCAGTTGCGTAAAACACAATTTACTAATCAACGTTCTGCATCCAATTTGTTTATATGAAGTGCGAACAAAATTATGATCAAAACGACTACCGGTAAAAGGGTTCAAGACAACTAGTCAATCTTCTGTTTTCATTAAACCCCGAATTAAGGCGTTCCATATGAAGTGATAGTCCAAGGGGTAATTAATCTCACTTTAATTTCTCAATTTAATAATCAAATAATGTTTACACTTCCTTTTATTATTTATTTAATGATTTTCTTACCTGACCAGTGATTTGCAAAACGACATTCACTTCTCCTTCGACCTTTGTAAATCCCTGATAGGACATATTTCGCGCCGAACGCTCTGTTGCGATAAAAACCTCTCCGGAGGCATTTTCAAAGGCAATATACTTCATATCCGGTCGTACCCAACAGTTCGTTTGGCCGTACATTGTTTCAGGCCGGAGAGTCGCAGCCACTAAGAAAATTGGTTTCTTACCGAAGACCCTGAAAATATTTCCATGAAACACTCAACTATGAACTAAAATGGTATACTTGAACTTCGGCGAATACGGCTCTAGCATTCTCATTTTGATCAATGTGTACTCCTGCGGTCCCACTCCCTCACCTGACGATCTATCGTGGTCCATGCAAGGCTGTCCATCCTTTGGTGAGTAAATGGTGTAACGTTTGCCAAACTGAACTTTATTCCGCTTTTTTAAGTGTAAAAATTGCCAACGTACAAAGGAGTCGAAAAACGGATTCACGTCAGTTGTGATAAATGTACGGCGCCAATCCACCTGTGACCAATAACTTAAAAGGTAAAATACATGCAAGGGTACATTGAGGAGGGTAGCCACTCTGAACATACATATTTGTATAATTGCAGGAATCGCAATAATCACTGAAAAATCGCAGAACCACAATAATTTTGATCCATGTAATTCATTGCTAATAAAATCACCAAAAATTTGGCAACATAAATGGTACACGGAATATTTCTAACCGATTAGAACTGCGTGTTATTAAAAATAGAGTGCATTTTGTGTGGTGATTAAAATTCCGTTTAGAGAATTTGCAAAATTGAGTACTGTTACCACAATAATGAATTTTTGCCATTATCTATCAGCACTTATTTTGGCAAAGGGTAGAATGCAATTATTTTTCCGAAATTTCTTTGTTAATCTCAGATTCGCACGAAACTGATCTGATGTCTATCTATTACGGTTTTCATTTTTTAAATAGAACACCCTGTATAAAGGTATGATACTCAATTTTCTCTTCAAAAATATATCACACCATGGATGATATTAAAAAATTAAAAAAAGTTCCAGTGATTTAAAAAATGAAAAAAAATGTTTGTCCATTTTTAATTTTTTGTGAGTTGAGAGTGTGATATAATTTGCCGTTTCCATAATATGTATATGGGGTCAGGTAAAAAAGTTATTGCACCTAAGTATGAAGGAAATCAATAAGTGAAACATTTAGTTATTTTTTAAAAAAATAAAAAAATCCATAGAGTAATGTATGTGAAACCAAAGAAACTTTCTTTAATAGATCACATGCGATTTCTGAAAATACCTGTACGATTTTGCTAGAGTGGTTACCCCCTCGGAACACATACGTGAATTCCGATACCGTTTAAATCTTCTACGGCCTTTGGAGGGAAGTAATCCAGCCAATAATTGGCATCTGCAAATTTCGGTATCTCCTCATCGCTCATTCCCAAACTCTGCATGATTTGCCACTGATATTTAGTATTTGCGGTTTTGGCAACTGCCTTACTCTATATAAAAAATATCATTCAAACATGAACTACAAAAAATGAGCCCTACCTTTTTCCCCTTGGATTTGTCTTTAGGTACCACATCTTCTCGCTCAACGGCAACAATCGACACGTCCTCAACCGGAAACTGAGGTGGGCAACCGTATTCCTCGATTTCCCTTTTCAATTTATCGGCGCATGCCTTAATGGGCATACCGGTGCAGTGAAAACCGAAGGGAAACAGAGCATACTTTCCCTTGAGTCGATTATATCTCACTGCAAACTCACATTTTGACAAGGAAAATGTGTGGCCTAAATGTAGTCGGCCATTCATGTAAGGAAAGGGAAAGGTGCAGAAGAATTTTTCATCGGTCTTCTTGGGGGTTGAGGGTGCGTTGATTTCGAATACCTTCTCATCCTGCCACCGTTTCTGAATTTCCCGTTCGATCTTTTGTAAATATTCAACCTTGAAGGTGCCCTTTCGTTCCAATGAGACCTGAAAGTGTATAAGATATAAGAAGTTGCATCAGAAAATGAAGATGTGAAATCCCTTTTAAATTGGCACACTTTTCTGACAGAAAGCGTTCAGGGCTTTATTTATTACCATTTTCCGTTTCAGTTTTCCTTATGTATTAAGTAGTAGCAAACGTTTTACTATTTAAATAACGAACACGTTGCGGTAAGATTAGAAGGCAAACATAAAGACTTAAATTGAGGTTATCTTACATTTAACTGTCACTTTTGAACAGCGTTGCCACCGTTGACAGATCTCGTTCAGCCAGTAAACTAATTAAACATAGATGGCAGTGTAAAACATAATTATATATAGTCACGAATGACTAATGTGTGTGGAAGACGTGAGGGAGTAGTATAGAAGGCATAAAAAATGTGTAAGGAAAAAGCGCGTAGGGAATTTCAGGAGGCATGAAGAAGGATGTGAATGTGAAAGAAAAGGTAAACAGGGCTTAAAAAGATGTTGTTTAGAAAGGAGAAGTATAAAGAAGACACCCAACGCAAATCAAAAAAGGAAGGAAGCAAGTGTGAAAGGAAGTCTGAGACAGATACGAGAAACGGAGAAAAACATCGACGTAGGTATGAGCATTGAATAAGCACTTTCAATGGTATGAGTTAATACTTTCATACGTCCGCGTAGAAGGAACAAGGTGAATGACGAAAGTATGGAGTGAAGAAGCGTGATGGAATGAAAGGCGAAGAGAAAATTAAGAATTCGGGAAGGAGTCATGATCGCAAGAGGGTAAAAATGCATCAAAAAAATAGAAAAGGGTTGTTAAGATGTCTGTAGAAACAGGAAAGTAATGCGGTCAGTGTACGAAAAATGCGTGAAGAAAGCGCCAAAACGTAAGATTCGACCCTTTCACGAAAATTGTAAGTTCCTAAAATTTGAATAATTTGCAAATTTACTACTTCGCCACCTAACTAAATTTGTAAAAATGCGTCTCGCAACGAAAATATCTACCGCCTTAAAATAAAAACAAATGTTTTGACAAAAATACCAAAACCGTTCTTTGAGGGAGAACTCCAGAACCCCAGAGCCCATTCCAGAGAATTCCATAAATGCGTCACGTTACGCTGTTTTCAATTCAAGATGGGCAAAAATCGAATATTCGATTTTTATAAAAAGGACTGGTGATATGTGTGTTGCATACCTCTAAGGCACATAACGGCCTACAATCTCAATAATATTTACCGATTTTGTTTGGGCATTGACTAATTAAGTAATTAATTAATTCTAGCCGATAAATGTTTGATTTCAGCGACTATGTTCATAATGGCGTTTTGTCGCAATTTAAACAATAAGCACTAACTACAAACTATAAAATGTCTATTTTAAAATTTGAAGTCTCTTAATTAGAGTATATTATTTAGTTTTTCTTGTAATTTGATATACACAATAATAAATAAAGCGCTGTAGGTATATATTTTTTAACGTTATTTATGTACCAATTACGTAGGGAAGGAAACTAAACTCATTTGTTCGACACCCATTGTCTATATAGTTTGCTTTTTCTTTTGCCTAGCAAGTTTTGTTCGAAAAGATTGGACGCACTGGCAATATTCACGCAGTAGTGGCATTCAACTAAATCTAAGATCGTTATTGGAATGTCCCCAATCAAATATGTAGGAAATCGGATTAGTTTGATTGAATGCACAATGTCAACTATTCTATTTATAGAGATATTTTCTTGAAATTTTAACCAAGCCTAGTAAAAGCAAACATATCGCATGTTTTAAAATCATGTGCGCACGAATCACGGCATACAGCATTAACGCTTTTCAATTAACTGTTTGGTCGAAAAACCACATTAATATTACATTCAGAAGTTACATAAAATAAAATAAAAATTACTATCGACAATGTTTCCTGTGAAAAAATTAATGGTGAATTGAATTCAGGTAGCCTAGGAAAACATATAAATAAAACCGCGTCAGATAATTGTCCTTCACATACTAAAGGTTTAATTTCCAAATGAAATTTGCAAAAAAATTATAGCTAAACTTCGGACGCTTCGTATAAATGTTTAGCTGACGCAAAAAACTAACGGATATGAAATATACTACAAGAAGGGGCGTTCCCTTTTGAAAATGTGTAGTTACAGCTGTGGTACAGGGTAAATATGTAAGCAAAATTGAGAAGAAAAGGATCCAAAACGAATTTTTTTTTCGTAGAGACGTATGTACGAATTTTTCACTCAAACATAGTATAATAAACACTCCCGTTATAACGACCATCTACAATCCTCAAAAATTCTCGAATTGCATAGAGGCACGCAAAGTGGGAACCCGAGTTCCATTGCTCACTTTGCTGCCCATTTTGCAAAATACCATGGGAATTTGCAAATTGCAATATGACGGTAACATTATACAATGCTAAAGTGTTGAAGGTGAAGCACTTGTGAAGTTGAATTCCTGTCTAATGTTCCTCAAATTATGGATTATGGATTCTACAGGCCACATTCTATAAGGAAATTTTTTTTCCGGGTCGTTCTGAGACAATTTTTTTTCGGGCCAAAAAAAAGGCAGTGTACAACCTTCCTTTTTTTACCAAAAATCGACTACACCAAAATTTCTCGGGAAAACACTTTTTCATATTAATTTTGGTGCGTAGAATCCAAATCATTTCGTACTTTTTCGATCAGACTTCTCAATCAAAAATTATAGACTAGAAACCAATTTCGAAAGAAAATTCAAAGGGCTGCAACTTTTGAACTAGTAGCCCAATCTTGGAACTGTTTGAAATTATGGATTCTACAGGCCACATTCTATAAGAAACGTTTGTTTGTAACGTCGGTAATACAGAACACGCATGTATCAAATCCAAAACGCATATACATAACATATAATCCCATGTATATACATAGCACATCCAAAATGTATATTTATAGAATATCCATACTGAACATAAAATACATATGCCTATCCTATAATGAATATACATAGTATATACATAACATGGACAGGATATTCCCTGTACATTATGGATTTAAAATGTATATACATAAGATATCGAATGCTATGTGAGATGTCTAGTAGAACAACAAATGGATGCACACATAATCGATTTTCAGATTTAATTATCCGTGTGCCTCAATTTTGGAAGGACCATTAGTCTTTGCGATGCAAATCAAAATTGACCAAAATTCTTGACAATTGTCTACCTATTACTGAAAACAGAATGAGAAAATTCGAAACCGTTCCCGATGAGTTATCGTATACACAGACGGACGGACGGACGGTCAGAAAGTCGAAAATCATAAACGAGCTCTGTGGCTAATTAAGAAATCAGCATAAATACATCAGTCCACATGACGTATCTGATGGAATCCAGCGAAGTACGTATACTACAATAATTCAATGTTACACTGTTGGGACACTTAGCTGCCTCAAATGAAACGAAGTGATTCCATTGTAAAGAAAAGAAGATTTAATGTGCGAAAATGCTTTATCTTTAGTTAAGTTCCTATAAATAAAAATCAGCATTGGCATAAACTCAAATAAGTGCGTAAGTAAACTATATTGTACTGATTGAAATGATTTAGTGATGGGTGTACAAATCTGTACCAAAAACCATAAGGTCTAAATACATCTGCTTGAAACTGCAACACATAATAATGCTAATTAAACTAACCAGGTGCCCAGGTGGTACGTTAATCGAAACTGCAAGGCGGTATGTTTAGGCGAAGCAATCACGTAAAGATAGAGACTCTTCAGCTGCACCCTTTGTAGCGTTTAACGCTATTAGGATAATCATGCTGACCAATCGCCGAAAATTTACTATTATTTTAAGCAGCTGTGTAGTTGAAAAAGTTAAAAAAGTTATAATCCTGAAACCCCACCTACGTCCATCCAGGTGTATGCGGGTGAAGAACACAAAAACTAATAGATAAAACCTATTGCAGAACAATGATAGTATCTATTAACAGTCATTTGGCGAAGGCACGCGTCGAAAGCTTCCCTTTAAATGTTTTTGTTTTTTTGAGTTAGTATGTGCTCCGTCAGTAACCCGATAATGGTGTCCTCTTGCATGTACTCCGCTTTTAGTACAGACAAAGATGTTATTCAAAATTCTTGGATTATACGTGAGCCCAATGATTTTTATACATCTCAAGTTACGGCGCCGACGGTGCAAGCAGATGCGACCCACTACAATGAAAATATAAAAGATGAATTTGAAGAGGCATCGAGACCACTACGAGAAAAGAATTCTAAAAAGACTGGTGGACAAAAACACGTGCCACATAGAGATAAACCTCCTCAGATCGTTGCGAAACGAAACGCGAGAGAAAGAAGACGAGTGCAGGCTGTCAACGGAGCCTTTGTAAGGCTTAGAAAGGCATTACCGATCGAAAATAGCAGGTAAATTGCGCTAATTTGCTTTCATTAGTGTTTAGATGGTGATTACTATCGTATCGTAGTTTGCCTAGCCTAGAGCTTTGATTTGATGCACATTCCATCATTGTACCTACCTGCCAATTTTGCTTATTACTTAATCTTTTGCTAACCTTTTGTCGAACATAATGAAAGTGAGAGAACTTGCTACGCCAGATTCATCTCCTTAATTTGATTCGTAAAGAATTGTGATTGGCAGTTGACATTCATATTTCTAAGGGAAAATTAGCGAAATAAACGTAAACGGTAATGAAAAGTCTATGAAGATTTACCTATCGAAAGCAGTTTTCCGTTTTGTTTGTTTCAAGTGTATTATTAAGTTCTGTGACAAACATACTGCTGAAAAATAACGTGTATAATGCAGATGGGCTTGAGAACACGTTCTGGCCGAATGTCCCGCGATGGCTGACAAATACATATAATTGTATTACATTTTTTCCGCGCACTTGGTCCACCTAGCTACGTACCTGCCAAAATTAATTCTCAATTAGAGAATTATTGGGGCATCATTACTGAAAATAAAATCCTAGCGGCAAGGCGTTCTGCACCCCTATCAATGAGTTATGAGAGGACGTTTAATCCAAATGTACTAACGGGCATATAATTCCTGAGCAAGATTCCGTTACAATTGCCGAATGCAACTTTTTAGCGCATTTTCACAAAAATTTAAAAAAATGCGCTATTGTGGCCACTTTGTTCGTCCGTCCGTCCGTCCGATCGTTCATTGAGACGCTACTAGTTCTTTATATTAAGAGCTATTGTTCTACTTTTTTCGCTATTTGGTTCCTTATGGTGTCGAGGCTTGCACGATTATACGATTTTAACAGAAGTTGCATCTTACAAATGGGAAATGAATACAAGTGGAAATGCGCTTTTTGTAAATCGTTTTGTTTGTAACTATCGGAACTTTTGGACAACCACCAGTCGTAATTGAACCCTTAAAAGATGATGTCGGGGGCTTCTATCTTCACTCGTTGCATGCAAGGAAGATCTGTGTTGTATGGATTAAAATTTTATTCAGATGTCTTATGAAAAATCTTCCATATTTGCGTTATTCAAGACATAGCTGGGGAGGATCCAAAGTGCTTCGAATTTGAATTCTGAATCCTTTTACAGGATCCGAACATGTATAGGTACTTCCGGAAAACAGAATTTGTATCTCGATCTTTAAAAAGTGATTGTATCATTATAAAAGGATTCGGATTAATATGACAGGAATGTTTGATCAATCCTAGAAATAGTTTCAACGTAGTTTCAACAGTTACGTCATTCAAGATGAATTATTCCAAAATGAAAACTACAAGTATTTATTTATAGTTTATAACATAGACATTTTACAACAAAACCTTATAATAATATTAATAGTTACAGCACTTGTAGTGTTTCATCGAAAAGTGTTCTCGATAAAATGGCTAAGAAAAAGCACAGTAAATTTGGAATAACCATATTTTTCTATTGCAGGATTAATTAAAATATTCTAAAGTAAAAAGCTTCAGTGCCTTCGAATGGACCCCAGGTGCTGTGAAACAAAACTCCCATATTGTACCAAAAACACCAGATAAATCTCCAGAAGTGTAACCATAACTCCAAACTACCAAAAATATTCCAAACTGTTTTCCTTGGTATTTTTATTATAAAGTGTAACCAAAAGTCCATTTATAAACATGTTTAGAAAGGATTGATTGAGAGATTGTTCAGATCTCTATTCAAAACTCCAAGCACCTTAAAAAAAAATTTTTTTTTTGCATATATATCAAATTACCGGACTTTTTAACGGAAAATCGTATGGAAAGTGTTACTTTTTTCACGATTTATACTATGTGTTTCCAGGGCGTTTAGTCCTATCTATGCACAGTAACATCAATTTTTGAGTGACAGTAAATCACGAATATCAATGATATTATTCAATTATGTCATTAAGGATCACTATACAAAAAATTTTCGTGTACAACGCATTGCGAAAGTGTCTTTTTTTCATGAATTTGCAGTTTGATTAATGAGGGCGAAAAATATGACTTTCAAAACTAGTTGTACGAATAACAATTACAATATCCCTTCAGCTAAACCTTAAAGAAACATTCACATCTCTTTGGGGATTATTCACTTTGCAAACTGCCATCAAAACTCAAAAATTACACAAAAAATGCATGTACTGTGAACTTAGCCTCACACGCATTTTTTCAAATAAACCGATGACAGAAAATGTATCGTGTGAGAGCTACTCCCCAAAGTCTCAAAATTTGTGTTTATTCTACAATTTTCTGCTTTAACTTTAACTAAGTTTATCTTACAATGCTTTTTCATTTTTTGTAAAAGAGCGAAATCCAAAATTCGAAAAAAAATTCCAACTGCAGCTCTTGGTTAGACTAGGAAAACTGGTGGATACGCTCATTAGAGTAAAGCATTTTTCTTATGGCATTTGAACTTGAAAAGGGAAAAATGGACAGGATAATGAACTATTTCATGCATTTTGAACTATTTCCGTAAGTGAGATGATTGAGATCATTTTTTGATGGAATATTGAGGATGCAATTGTCTGTTATAATAGTTTCCCCTAAAATGTTTGCAAAGGATATTAATAGTTTCTATTTTAATACATTTCTATCCATACATATATGTGGTTTATTTTATTAGCTTATCAAGAACTGTAGAACTATTGATGATCTATCCACAACGTTTAGAAAAAGTTTACTCGTTTAATCCTTATGAACAATTATTTATTGTGGCTGTAATGACGAAATAGTTTAACAAACACTAATACTTTGTTTGTAACGATCCTTTCTCATGTTCCAACAAACTAACATGGAAAACTTCATCGATAAATCTACTTCTAACATGATCTAAAGTTGCACATTTAAGTCCATACTTTCAAAATTTATTTTAAATTGCATAACTGTTGGAACGATTTATATATTATGTACATATAATAAGTTCTGACAAAAGTGGATTCTTCTAATCTTGCCAAAAAGGTACTGAAATTGCACCTTTGTGTTTGCGCAAAAAATTTCCATTATTTTCCATTTTTGGCTAGATTTTTGAGGTGGTGATGTCGCACATATTGGCTGAAAAAGAATAATCTGGCAAATCGACCTTGTGCTAAGATGTTGAGTATAACATTTATGATAAGACAAGGATCAAACATCATACTCTTATTCAGAATTTTTGTAAAATTTGAGATTTTTTCAAGCCCTATGTTTTTCTCAGTGAAACTTGAAAAAAATTTCAGGCCTTACAACTGTGTAAATAAGCTTTCACTAAAAACACATGATTTACGAGTGAGTGAAAAATATTGAAAATGACTTTTTCGGAGTAAATGGAGTGCAAGTATTCTAAGCCTATACGAGTGCTAGTGCCATAATTAATTAGACAATTGTTTTGCAACAATTCACTTTAGAGCCGATTCGAGTTACTATACTATACTGTATCAGGCAGATGGAACAAACTTTTAAAATAAATGGGGGGCGGATTGAAATAAAACGCTGGAACACGTATTTTTAGTTGCGCATTTTTTTAACTAAAATTTTTTATACTTACTGGGTGTTTTACATGGCAGTGACCAATACTAACTTTCTTATTTTAAATACAACATCCATTTTTTTTAATGTTTTCAGATTTATTGCAAAAAATTAGTTTTGCAAAAATTGCAATAAATAAAATTATCTACTTGTTTACAGAAAATCTCTACAAACAAACAACTACAACAAACACACATTTTCCTTACTTTAGCAAATTGTTGTGTTGACTGTGATTTGAATTTCTTTGACTACATATCAGGAAAATGGTTCATTTAACTTATATGCACAAAATAACTATTAGTTGTTATTGTTAGTTATAAGATAAGTGTTAGTAGGGCATTATACATAAAATGTCTATAATGTTTTTACGTATACAAAGTTGAATAATAATATTGCATTTAAAATAAGTTAGTCAGTACTGCGGTCAAGGGGTACGAATAGAGGAAAGGAAAAAGAGACGAATAATAGCTCTAACCACAGCTGGCGGCTGCTCACGGCGAGGCGAGACTAGGATATCTGTGTATATATGGTTCGTTTCTTTCCTTTGAAGCCAAAGAATTTCATAATCATAGGGGAATCGAAGATGTCTGTCTGTTTGTGAACACGATAACTGCATACACCTGTACGATTCGATTCAAACTTTGCACAGTTGACCGCATGTAACAAGCCTATTGAAAAATGGATCAGATCTATTGACCCCGTAGGGTCACCTCGACTGCTGCTTTGTTAGATCCGCTTTAGGGGTGATTTTGTGTTGGGATCAGTGTACACTCCTTAAAATAAAAAAAGTTCATGACAATTAAACTTCAAAGCATTAAAATACAGGAACTGTTGATTTCCCATTCACTGCACAAGTACCTAATCGTGCACTTCACTGTAACTTTGCTAGATTATGTAAAAACGTCGTTTCCGCAGAGGAACTTCACCCTACCATAATCAATTCAACGTTTCAACTTGATGTGACTGGACAATGAAGGAATGTTTTGGTTTTCCCTTGATTGCTACCAAAAATTCCTTAAAAAACCATAATCAGCGGTTGACAAATGATACCTAACTTCTCCCTATGTTTAAGTTAATCAACATTCTTTGGAACCGCAATTTGTGTTTTATTACAAAACTACTTTGAATATTTAATTACAGGGGTAAACGCGTTAGTAAAGTCAAGACTCTTCAAAATGCCATTCGGTATATTCAACAGCTTCAAGAACTAATAGCGGAGGACCAATTCCACATTCGAGATGTAAGTGTAAAGAATTTTTTTCCAGTTATTGGTACAGTGTTCGCTTTTAGTACTCGTTTGAAGATTCCACAAGTGACGAAGTATTTGAAGAATTTTATTTCGAAAGAGAATTTGAAAGATGAAGCAAGCGTTTTGAAAGAAGTGAATGGTATTATTGTATCTAGTCATCTCCCAAATAAATTATCATAATTGCGAATCGTTAGCAATAATTATAACTTCCTTCATTGCTTCATTTAGGCTCAAACGTTACGAAAACAAAAAATATTGTCTTTAATTGTGGTTATATAATAATTAAATTAGTATTCGGTTAAGCGGCTCATTGACTTGGTAACAAGGGCGCGTACGTATTTCGTTTAGGTGTGGTAGGAAATATTGTTTGCTTTCGTATGCAGGTGTAAGTACGAGATATTTGCACGTCGTAAAGGACAATACTTCACTACGACAAGGACGTGTGTACAATTAATGTAATCACTTTTGTAACTCAACTGTATTTTTTCATTTTAACATATTGTTTACATGCACGGAGGAATCGGCGATGTTCATTTTTTAATTGTACCCGCAATGTATAAGAAACGACCGTGTCAAAACGAATTGATGTTTCCGTGCTCGAATGACGAATGTACTTTCTTGTGCATAATAATTAGTAACGAATTAAAAATTAGCAATCGATAAATGTACAGTTAAGTACAGATATGCGAAATCGAGCAGCGATACTGACGAAGTATTTTCGTGGATGTTATGATTGAAATTTGCTCATTTAACGTTCAAAATCACACATTTTATGAACTGAAAATTGAGAAAGTAATACACATACAGGATATACTTGTGCTGATTGAACTGGTCCTGGTGAGGTCCTACAGGTCAAGGACTATAATATTACCTACCATTTTTTGCTTTAGATTATAGCTTCGAGCTAATAGATAAGCAAACTGGCTATTTACAAGTTTCTGGTCTGGTGAATGGTAATGATTTCATTCACTTTTATGGCCAAATTATTCTTCTCTGGAATATGCTGCTTTAAAGACGCTAGTAAGTTTGCTATGGTCGATCGAATAGAAACGTAAACTACTTAATTCAGGAATTTCATTAAAAATAGCCGGACGTGGACGTCTGTATAGAAAAAGGTATTCCATTGGTCTCCTCCCATTCCTGTTTGACTGATTGGAGTTTAGTTTAGACATAGGTACATAGACAAAGTATATCAGTGTATGCGTCGGTCCGTACCGCAGTCTGACCATGTATTTCTTACTAGAAAATGCTACTCGGGCATGTCAATCAAAGTCTATGGAAAACGCGCTTTGTCAATATTTTAATTAACCCCCATTGCCTCTTGGAGGCCGACAAAAGGTCTCTTATCAAACTGATACCGGCATAAATCTGCATGGCTTCACGCTCGTTTTAAATTAACGTAAGAAACCAAAATCATCTAATAATGAGTTAACGGGACTGAAATTCTAAACTATTAATTTGCCCTCGTCTTCTAAATGGTAAGAGCTTTCGGACGCAACAAAGATAATTGAAATATCTTGACGAGAACGGTTGCAAACGGCGAATTAATTACAGATTTTGTTTACGGTAACGGCGGGGGCTGAAACACAACTACAATACCTTTACCTTCTATCTTCAATTCCTAAAACTAACACAAATACTTTCGGCGCGACACTTTTTGTAGCGAAGCGCCTCCAGATACCGGGTGTTCACGTACTCATGAAAGTATGTAAACTTCAAGTAGGAAAACGGGTGCCTCGTTACAGTACTACAAAATCACATAAATTGGTGAAGACAAGGGTGACAATGAACATAATTAGCACCCATGCGCTTATGACCCATTTCGCTTTCATCTTAAAATTAATTTCAGCTTACGGTCGCCAACTCATTACCGCCATCTCAACTTTCTGCTGACCCAACTTTAAACTCTTTAAACGTAAATGTTGTCGTTAATTTGAGATTGATCACAATTTCAATCATGGTATTTGAATTTGAAGTCAATGCGATTTTGTTTTAAGAGTTATTTGTTGCTTAATTTTGTTTAAATAATCGCGTGGTATTTTGATTTTATTTTCTTGTTCATTTAGAAAAATAAGGAACATATGTTTTATTAAAGTTCTGAATTAAATCCGGTCGTTGCGATAAGGCATCTGTTATCGCTGCGTAACCAAATTAGTTTGAGGATAAGCAAGTTTCGCCAATACTAAAACATAGGTGTTTAATTTCGAAGACGTGAATCGTGGCTTTTTTGGTTGTGGACGTTAAAAGTTGCTTTTTGGTACAAGAAAGTTAGTTGAGAGTTCTAAGAGCTCCAAGTGTCAGTTCCAGGGAGTTTTTTCCGCCATTAAATAGCCAATTTTTTGCGTGCGTAATTCCAACGAACCCATCAGTCTTGTCGAAATTGAAATTTAAGAGCAATTAAAGAAGTGAAGTTCCGAAGTATCATCATTTGATGTTTGTATTGATTGATTTTGTGATTTTACAATTTTTTGTTTTATCATAATTTTGGATATTTGTTTCTACAAGTGTGCAATTACGTAATCTAATTGTAATACGATCTTAAGAAATACAAAATGAAAATATTTTTTTAATAGAAACAGTATTTATAACTTTAAAATGGGGTACTATATAGAGTGTAGTAGGCTGAAAAGTATGCACTTGATCAATCTCAAAAACATACAATCTAAAATAAATAAAATATAGACTAATTGAATGAAGTGAACTTTGTTTGATTAGATTTCCAAAATCTTGAACCCAGTAATGCCCATTGTTAGATGGAATTTCGGGTCAATCGCAAAAGACCTGCTATAAATAAATAAACTGCACGAGTTAGGAGCACCGCTTCGGCTGCAAGAACAAACACTGAGAAAGAAGCGCAACTAACGAGGAATTATCTAATGTGGCATTTTTAATTATTTTTGCGACCAACCTCGTTATGAACTGCCGAAAATAACGCATTAGGTGTAAAATTGCCTGTATAATCCAAATTGTAAAAATAAACAGCGTCAAACTGAAAATGATAGGAAAATACTACATCTATTATTCAATTCGTTTGGGGGGGGGGGGGGTTATCCGTCCGTCCTATCCGAGCGATGTAAAACGTTCGTCAATCGATTTCTATGAGTTCAAAGATCATTGCTGTGCTATTGATTGTAGCTGGAAAAGTCTGGTTTCCGAATGCGTGCTGAGTGGAAAAAAATTCCCCTGCTAAAAATCGTATATTTTTCGTATCTTGTTAGTCATAATATCACCCGTTATCATTTTATATCCATAGCGCCAATTCTGACAAAGTTACAGGGGTAAACCTAATTTGGTTTACACAAGGCACACGGTATATCAGAAAGTAGTGAAAACAAATATTTCGGCTTTTTTTAATCTATACCCGATACCACGGACATTTTCTCTAAGTTGGAATGATGCGTCGAAATCGTACTTTCGTAAAAATCGCAGGATTTAGAATCCCCCAAGTATTTTCGTAACATAATAAGAGGAAACGGACGGACTATTATTATTCGAGTAAATTTATTTATTTAAATTTTATGATGTGAAAATTGCGCTGTTTAAAATTAAGGAACATCTGGTCGTGTGCCATAAGGAGGTTATTATCGCGAAAATTAATTGATTTCAAGATGCACGTGTGTTTGGCGCTGATAACAAAGGATGCAAGTTCACAATTTCTTTTGTGTGTAATTCTGTTCTTTCAGTCTTTCGAATGATTAGGTTACTATTTGAAAAAAAAGTTCGATGCCGTTGCGACGCGCGAAACTTTTTTTTCTCCAAATACGCCCCGTCATTTTTCGAATAAAGATCTCTTTAGTAGGTAATCCTTTATTGATTGAAAAAGTACCTCTCCTCTTTTAATATTTACAATGTAACATAATTGATAGCGGCTGATTTAATTAAAAATTTACGTATGTCTGAGGGTACCCACATTGTACCTATTCTTTATCTGAGCCGCTCATTGCATAATAAGAGCTTCAGCATTACAATATTACAATGTCGCAAGCGCAACGCCGAGTTTATTTGGCGTTCAAAAACGATTACAGTTTTGTTACCCAGGAAGCCAATTAATTATTAAGCAAAAAGGCCATTGGGTAAACTATACAAACAAATTCCACTGGATATTTATCTATAAAGAAAACCATAGTTCCCTCCTTTCTTCTATGGGTTAAAGCCTTTAGTGAACAGGCCCAATTATGATAATAAGTGGAAACGTGCTATTTGAATTGTCAACCGATTAACATAAGTATTGTGTAATTACGGTCTATACGTAACTTAAATGTATTCCGCAATGTCAACACACTGCAATTGACAATTCACCTTGAAGATTATGTTTTTTGCAGTGACTTTTTGTGGGTGGTGTCAAGCGACATGTAACATATATTCTTGTAAAAGTGACGTTGCTCCTATTCTTGTAAAAACCACCAAAATAAATACGTATCCCCAAAGGTCGGGAAACTTCACTATAGCATCGGGTAGTCACCGAATAACGATAACCCACCTGATCTTCGCGGTTTACTACAGGGGCAAAATCCGAAAACAAAGGAAATTCCGAAATGTCCTTGCATTTCTGAAAATTGGTCCCAAGTTCCGTTTGCAGTTATTTAATATTCTAATAGTAAAGCCGAGTAGCTGTAAGTACTTGCTAACATCACGCATGACTCGAATACGATTTTTTTTATTTTCCTTAAGAATTTATTTTGAATACTAATTTTACTACCGTACATCCAGTACCGGTATTCCCACATGTACAGATTTCTCGGAATATGCGCGATTTCCACATTTTTTATATACTTGAACTTGAACGGCAAAAGTGGATTACTATATCAAAATTGATAAACATGTTTAAAGGTTATCGCATAAACCTCTACAGAGTTTATAATAGGAAAGTTGATTATGCTTCATCGGTCATTTGATCTGACCTTCGTGAGTTAAAAGTTCCGGAAGTAGTTTCTTTGAAAGGTTTTTGACATTATGGTTTTCTGTACACAATCAAGTATTAGCCCATGTTAAATTGCAGTATTTCAAATAAACGATTCTTAAATCATCACCTTTCGACCGCATTACAACCGTAAAAGTTGAATTATAGTTCAACTTTCGAGAACGACCGGATGTAATCTTACCAAACCGGCCCTTAAATCTTAAATTAAAATATTACCCCACACACTTATTGAGTAGCAAT